ATTGTTTCTATATAACCTCAATATACCACAGTAGTAGTAGTAGTAGTAGTAGTAGTAGTTGTAGTTGTAGTTGTAGTTGTAGTTGTAGTTGTAGTTGTAGTTGTAGTAGTAGTTGTTGTAGTAGTTGTAGTAGTAGTAGTAGTAGTAGATGTTGTAGTAGTAGTAGTAGGAGGAGGAGTAGCAGTAGTAGTAGTAGTAGCAGCTGCAGCAGTAGCAGCAGCAGGAGCAGCAGTAGCAGTAGCAGCACCACCAGCACCACCCGCACCACCGCAACAAGAATGGAATGGGGTTTATTCAAGGTTACGCATCCTTTTTCGGATCCTGAATTACGGTGTAATCGCTTTTACCACGTCTTGTGAGAGGAACGTGCTGCTAAGCCCAGAATCAAACCAGAATCCCATAGGACACGATAGGTTATGGCACCATTGGGAAAGAATAGTCCCTTGTTGATACGATTCTGAGCTGCAGAGAGGGTTGAAGGGAGGCAGAGATATGAGGAAATTGTTTTAAAATGTATGATTGAATATTAGGATTTCGGGTTTTGGTATTAAAGGGCTTTAGTAATTTAGCGTTCAGAGCTTCATGATTTAGGTCATAAAGTCTTGAAGTTTTAGGATTACGGGCTTCAAAATTGAGGTTCGTGGTTTGGCGATTCTGCGCGGCCTGGCGTGTAGCAGATTCAGGTCGGGGCATCATTGCTTCGAGGAAACCTCCAGGAATGTAGCCCGGTTTAGGGTTCCCCTACACCCTAAACCGCAAACCTTTGGGGTTCAAACCTTAAACCCTAAAGTAAGGTGTTTGGCGGTCCCCGAAGGAGCTTCAGCAACCCGCAAGCCATGCAACACTCAATGATTGGTTTGTTGGTGAGCAACTTAAATGAAGTTGCCAGACTATGGGTACATAGTAAATAACGCGGTTTCTTTATTCTAGTAATTTAAGAGCAACCCAGATGATACGCTCCAGCAGTGTCCTGTACATCAAGTTCTATTGTTGCTGCTCGCTAGCTGGTAAACGAGCAGCTGAAACTATCACCTCTACCAAGTTCCAGAGAAGAATTGCTGGGAATCTCGGCGCACTCTCCACCGGGAGCCGCTTCCCAGGTGGTCCACCCACACCCACTGGTGGCGTTGCTCAAGCGGCTGAATCAAGAACACAGGTTTGCGGAGGCTTCAGCCAAAAGGTATGGGTGAGCCATGCAAAGGCCAGCAAGTCAATCACTTCTTACCCTTCTGAATGCGCGGGAGCACATCCCGCGCCGGGATCTCCGAACTGTCGGAGTTCTTGGAGCCGACAGCTTCGGAGTGGCAGCAGCCTTGGTTTGAAGCAGTGCTGGGGCGTGATGGGGATGAGATGCGCCAGGTGGAGCTGTGGACACACAAGGGAACGGGCCAGGCCTTCGCCGCGAAGCGTACGTGCCTCGTAGTTCCAAGTTATGAAATGATTGCTACTCTAGTGAGTGTTTCTTCCACAGAGGCTGCAGCAAAGGCTTCGTGAGGATCATGGACATGCAGGATGTTACTGAGCAAACCCTGAATGAGCTGGGGAGCTCACAAATATTTGCCAGGAGCACTTGATCCGGGAAAAGACGAGCATGTTCAGGACCGATTCCAGGTTGGTACATCAGTTATAGCTGAGGCTATCACAAAGATTCCTGACTTGAGTCCCCAGCGTATCTTCCGTACTAGGTTTGTGGTGAAACTGTACACCACGCCTTGCCCTCAGAGGTTGTTGGCAGGCCTGGTGCACGGAGAGACTTGGCAAAACAGTCTGTAAGGTACACAAGCAAACCGCTCACGCACTTTCTGATGGAGTCGGGGGGCTCGGCTGCTTGCGTATAGCGGCCTCTCAACCTTGCTGCAGTCAAGGGCTCCTCAACTTTTTGTGTCAGGAACGAGGCGCTACCTGATAGCACAGCCAAAAGCAGCGAAAAGCAAGTTTGCTAGTTGAGAAATTTAGGGGCTGTCCACCCCTGAAGCCCTAAAAACTTATAAGCCGAAGCCCTAAACCCTGTAAACCAAAACCCTGAACCCTATCGCCCAAAACTCTGAACCCTATAACCCTAGACCCTATAACCCAAAGCCCTTTTGGGTACAGGGCTCTAGTGGCTTGGCACTTGGGGATTGATCTTTGCGAAAGTGTAGGAACCTTAGGCCCTCAGATCAGCTCTAGTCTAAGCACTTGAGAGGTGGTTATATCGGGGATTATATAATCCCTTTACTGAGGGGTTTTGGGTTTAGGGTTGGGTCTACACTGCTTAGAGGGGGTTCTATAGGGGGCTATATAGGGGACACTTATAGGGGATATTAAGGGGGACACTAGGAGTTTAGACCACGGCTCAGATCATTAACCCTTTGGCCACAAAATCTAATCTTAGGCTTGTGGGTTTTAGGCCTTTAGGGCTTGCGGTGTAGGGGCTGGGTAAACTCTTCCTTCAAACCTCTAGTTTATTGACCCTGAAGCCTTAACCGCTTGAACGCTGACCCCCGCCACCTCCGCTTGCTGGCCAACGCCCAGGACACGATCAGACAGAGTCTGAGACTGCTGCAGGCTGCAACATGTAATCTAAGGCTAGGATTTATGGCTTAGGGTTTAAGGTCCAAGATTAAGAGTTCTGGGTTTAAGGTTTAGTGTTCAGGGGGCGTCTGGGAGTTCGTCGTTTATTCTTGGGCAACAGGACCCGGAGGGAGCTCCTTTCGGCGGACCCCACTCTCGGCATTGCGCAGTTAGTCATAATCAGAGTGGTTAGCAGCAATAATGAGAAGGGCTATTCTCGAAATTATGGTTCCTTTTGGTTATAGATTATATTGTGGCACCTAACATTTACGGGCAGCAAAAAAAGGGAGCCTAGTTTTGGGTTTTGGGAACTCCCCATAATAATAGTAAGAATGGAAATAAGGAATCGAACAACAAAGTGATAGGTCAGAGTTCCGGCTTGTGTGATGGGGCCCGCAAATGGAGCTGGGTTTGAGTCTTCGTACAGCCGCGCAATGTATAGGAATCTCGCGTTTCAGTGCTGAGTTTCTGCGGATTGGGGACTGTAGGATTAGCGTTCGGAGCTTAGGATTTCACATGACGCGTGGTGTCGTTGGGTCATGACCCGAGCCCAAAGCACAGAGCTTAAATGTTGACTCAGGCTTGCTTGTTCATGGGGCTCCGAGTGAAGGGTTGCCCTTTAAAGGGTTTACAAGATTCTGCTACGGCCCGATTGTGGCTCATTAGCCCATCCCGCCGATAAATGGGCTTAGGGTCTAGGGACGGGAAAAACACGTGGTAGTTTCCGCAGAAAGCAGCGGGGAACCCAAAATACCATAATCTTCTGCATGGGAGGCGGAGAAGGTAGACCCTGCAAGGGGGTTACAGAAAAAGTTGCCTTCTGTCAAGGCGCTTAAATTAAGTTACCATAATAGGGGAACCCTATGGTTTACTGTCTACCTATACTACAGTAACTGAATCTCTCCTCAAGAGCAACCCAGAACCCTAAACCCTGAACCCTCAACCCCAACCCAGACAACGGGCACACCAAGCATGTATTGTTTCGAACAGTTGCGGGAGGGCCGGGTCGGTCAGGCGGTTGGGGTGCAAGATGTAGGTTTTGGGTTCAGGGTTTTGGATTCTGGGTTCAGGGTTTAGAGTCAGAACTAGGTGGGCGGGATACTGGGATGGAAGGTGTGTGAAGGAGGTCTGGAGAGTGTCAAAGGTTGTGTGGCAGAAGTCTGGCCGCAACAATGCTAACCTCAAAACTCTAAACCCTAAACCCCTAAACCCTAAACCCTTA